TAAACCTAAAAGTTTTGAAAATATAAGCACATTGCAAATATTTAGTTAAATCTATCAAACTTAATGTCTTTTTAATTGTTACCTAAATTTTTTTTGGTATCCTTAATTTTATTTACCTTATTTTTACTTAAGGAAAAGGTAATTTAATTTAAAAATGGGGCTTTTATTACATTTTTAAAAATAAATAAACCAAATATTGAACAAATTTTATAGATAAATTATAAAATAATAAACGTCTTTTACTTTTATAACAAATAATTAATTATTACCAAATGAATTATATTTTGGTGCCGAAATTTCATTATTTTCTCAGCGTGCTAAGTTATGTATCAATCAAAGTCATGCTGTGAAAAAGGTACATCCGATATCAAAGGCACCGACAGCTACTGTGGCTTCTCCTTGATCGGTATTCTCGGGTCATGCTGTGAAAAAGGTACATCCGATATCAAAGGCACCGACAGCTACTGTCGCTTCTCCTTGATCGTTATTCTCGGGATCTACTTTAACACAAAAATAGTTGTGTGGCTATAAGTTGCTATAACCTATCGTAGCAAAACTATTAATAATTTAAACATAGTAAGTAGTATTAATATAACATCAAGTAATTTTTTAAAATAAAGTACATGATCTCAAAACAGAAATAATTTATAATAAATGCGGGTAAAACGAGGGGTAAAATAACAACAAATTAAGGGAAATACTTAAAAAGGGCAGGTTTAAAGAGTATTATCACAAGAAAGTATATCCGTTCTGTTTATTTATCAAGTATTGTTTGAGGTTACTTTTGAATACATTTATTGTTGTTTTTTTTTTAATTTCTGTAGGCAGTCTATTAAATTTTTTAAACCTTTAGTAAAAATTATATTTTGGGAACTTTTAGTGATGGCTTGCTGTACATGAATGTCAGATTGGCTTCTTGTATTATAGTTGTGATATTGCGAATTATATTGAATTGAATTGAATAGATCTGATGCGATGGTACTGTCATTTTTATTTTATAAATAAATATCAGTCATGTGCTGAACATAATAATTCTGAACTGAAAGCCAATTTATTTCTTTTAACATAGTTGCAATACTCATCTTTCTGTCCTTTATTAATAGAATATAAATAGGCAAAGTAAGGAGCCCAAATATTTTACATGAGCAGGCTTAAGAGGTAAAGGGGCCAATTATTATTGGATAAATTGCTCGAACAAGTTTTTAAACCCTAATCAAAAGGCGATATAGAATGGTTTTAAAAATCAAGGCTTGCGAAAATCATCACATGATTTAACCTAAGTAATGCCAATGCTTCTCAAATCAAAAAATTCAACATCCTAATACTACTATCGGCTTTCGGTCTTTCGTTCCAAGTTAAATTATTTCTCGTTTTTGTTACGCTACGAGTTTGCCCTTGTGGGCCTCAGTCTCGATAAGGTAGGAACCACCATTTTAGCGTCTCTCGAATTTTTTATTGCAAACTATACAAACTCTCGGCATGATTAACATTTATTTTAAAATAAAAACACACTTTAGATGTTTATAAAAAAGGCACCCTGTCCAAATTGTCTTCAGTTGCCCCAAAAAGCCATCTTTTTAAAAACCAAAACAAGAGTCTAATGAAATGTCATTTATCACAAGTACGCGCGCTATTTAAATTCGCCAATCATAAATCGTCGTGTACCTAACTCGCCAATCATAACGCGTCGTGTACCTAATACCGAAGGGGTTGCCCCCTGTGAAATACCAGTCCAAAGAATTAGGTTTATCGTAGAGCAAAACTTTATTAAAAATTCTTACAATTCAAAAAATGTGACATTCATGTATATAATTCAATTGACCATCCATCAATCTTTTTTTTTAAACAAAACTATCAAAAAATCAGAACGTACTACTTAGATACTATAATATCATGGACAGGATGTTACACCCCCCTCAGTACATAACGAACCCATTTGAGTAACACCTCTAGTCTTATATGCTCTAAGGTTTAACTTCGTTAGAATTAAGCATTCCAAACAAAATGGCTACCAGTGGGTTTTGACAGGTTATGATATGGTAAAATTATGGAAACTCTGTAGGCCTGGTGATTTGACAAGGTCAATAAAATAGATTTATTGCAAGCTTACAAATATAAATGCAAGTTTCCTTGCAAGTTTGTTAAATATTTATTGATAGCTTTTGGCAAGTTTGAATCTGCCTCACTATAAACTTTAAAAATTAAACTTAATAAGTCATACTTAATGGAAACTTATGAAATTAACTTATTGTTAACATACAATTAAAAATTTATTTAGTTTCAATTTAAATAGTATCTAAGAACTTTCACTGAAAATTTTCAAAGTTACACTTGATTTATACTGTTAAATTTAAACTTCTAGCAAACTTACCATTATGAATTCGCTTTAAACTCTCAGGGTTTCACTGTTTCTATACCAGGTGTTCCATTATATTTTGAACCTTTCTAAAACCATGTTACTTTTGAACTAGTTAAAATAACAAAATGTAGATTTCACCAGTCTTCTTTTAATTTTTATAAGTTTTTCTCTGTGTACCCATCATTTTTTTCCTACCATGTAGCTTAAGCAGAAATTACATTCTGTATTTTCGGAGATAGGGCAACTGTTTTTTTCTCAGTTCAATAGCCCACTGTTTCCCCTTTCCATAATGCCATACTTTCATAATTGTTACAAATGGTAAATGGTTTTATGGGCTCTTAAAAATAAATACTGCATCTTATTTTTATTGTTCAATAAAGTGATATTTTACTCTTTGTTAGATCGAGTTTCATATGTACATCTTGAAAAATATCAACTGAAGAAACATGTACATGACAGTATTTATTTTAAAAGCGAATAAAATCATGACAAAGTATTACCTACCTGACGAAGCAATGGCACTTGTAGAAAGAGGAAATATTGGACTTTCAAATTCAGAAAAATATACCAAGGTATTGTATTTGAAACAACATAGTTGTCCTATCCCTGAAAATACGTAATGTCATATTTGATTAGATTGGAAGTAAGCCAAAAAAAAGATGAATACACAGAAAATAAATATAAAAATTAGAAGAAGAGTGATGAAAACTATATTTCATTATCTCAACTAGTTCAAAAATTACATAAATTTAAAAAGTGTTTAAATATAACAGACACTCGATATTTCAGGAATTTATAGAAATTTTTAATCATAAAAAAGTAACAAAAATATTCTATTGTAATTATGTACCTTTAATAATTTATGTACAAACGAAACACTTTGTTTAACAGAAAAACAATATAATAAATATACATAGAAACTTAAATTGATAAACTTTTTAAAAACGCAAAAATTATAGGCACTAAAAATATTCACTTCTAATAAGTTGAAAAAAAAAAGTGGAAAACTTACTTCAATCAAAAAGTAAATTAATATATTTTATTTTATTCATTTGTTCCTTCTTGATAACGAACCGTGTCCTCATGGAACCAAACCATAACTGTTTTGGAAAAATCACCAGACATTCCAAAAAAAGAACGGAGAAACAGCCTCTAAAAACGTTTTGAACATTAACTATGTTTTTTTATATTAATATTAAATTCAATTTATTACTTTTATGGACTTCTTTTATTCTTTTTTCCAAATACATGATAAATGACAAAATGTATCATTCTTCTTCTTTGAGTTTATGGGCTTAATTTTCACTATCTACCCAGTCTTTCATTTTGCTTTCATCAGTTTTTCATAAGGAAACGGCAATTGCTGCATCTGGCTCCAACCATCGTGTTCTTACTTTTGCTCGATACTTCTTGTAATTTATAATATTATGTTGCTTTTGCTTAAAAATTCGTTTATTAATGAAGCGTCTATGGAATCTGGATTGTTAAGGTAATCTACTAAACAAAGCAGGGGGGTGTTTTTTTAAGGGGTGTTTTTTTAAGCATAAGAATAATTGTTGTAATGAACCTGTTTGACCACAATGACAGGAAGGAGAGTCCAGTTGTCCTATTCTATGTAGATGAATAGGTGTCCACTAATGTTCTATTCTACATCTGCACATGGTAGTAATTTGATTCCCATTTAGTGTAACGCCCTGAAACCATGTTTTTTTTTTTAATTGTCTTCGATGTTGCATAAGTGTTGTTCTTTTGTTTTGCATATTTCATTCTACTCCTCTTCCCAGTCTTTCTGTATTTTTTTAACTCTTGGTAATAAGTCTATACAGTCTACTTAATTTATATCTATTCCTTCTTTCTGCCTAAATTTACTAATCTATCTGCTACCTCATTTCTTTTTATATTTGTGTGGCTCGGAGTCCATGTCCAGTAGATCTTTTTAATCTTCATTGTTGCTTGTGCTAATTTCTTGATTTCTAGCGTTCCAGTGTTGCCAGAGAGCAAAAATTTTTTGTACCAAAATTAAAGTCAAATTGTATCAGATTCAGACAAAATGTACCAGCTTATAAATGCGCATGCGTTATTTCAACATTTTTAAATATCGACCATAATAATCGCCTAATAAGTCAAATTTTTTGCATCTTAGGTTAAAATATAGTTTATTTTAATGTTTATTGGTCTTTAAAATACAGAAAAAGAGAAGATCTAGTACATTTAGTCGGTACTGTAGAGTGTAGAGAACTGTAACAGTATATAATAGAGATAGTAGGGTAGGAACTATAAATTAGATTTTGATAAATAAAACAATAATGTATTTTTTTAATATATAAATATATTATATAAGTGCTTGCAAATCAACACAAAATTAAACTGGATTCTATATCCTATTACCTATAAAATATTTTTGTTCCTTTTTAAACTCAAATATTGCCATATTATATTGCACAATTAAATGTTTAAAACACAACTTATTACCTAACACAAAAAAACAAGATACAAGATATAAACTTCTTTAACATAAAACAAGAATATCATCAATTCACTTTGAGAACCTCGTAGACCTCTGGAACAACAAGTTAATATTTAGGGAGTTTTTTTAACAAAGTTGGTTGTGGTTGCCAAGAATAACATGATTCTCCATCATTTAATAACTCACATGACAACATAATCGCATTACATGTTGCTACATTAAGACGATTTCTTAAATCAGTTTTAATCAAATTTAGTTTGGAAAATATTCTTTCTGCACAGGCAGAAGAATGTGGAAGACACAATACGGCCCTAACCAGTCTTTTTAAATTTGGGCACATTTCACAGTCCAATCCATTTTTTGATTTGAATACTTCAATCCAAAATTCGTTGTGTGGAAGATTTTCTTTTTTTTTTAAATCAGCTATCTCTGGCAGCAGCCTCCATTCATTATCTAATTTTTCACAGTCAAAAACAGCTTTTGGAATAAACCTTTTGGCTTCGACAACAATAGTGGCTACATCGCCACTTAACGCATTTTTTGGTTGAAAGTTTGATAAAAAAATTAATAAGCCATCATTAAAGTTAAATCTTTTTCGAATTTGGCTACTTAACTCTACATAAAATGATAGAACATTTACTCTAAATTTTTCAACTTCTTTACAGTTAATATTGTTTTCACTTTAAAATAAAGCAACTCTTGCCCCCATATAGATTTCTTTGGTATCTAAATAAATTTCAGGATTGGTTGGGCAAATAATCCTAAGATAGTGCGTTTGACAAAAATTTTTAAAATGCTTCTGTAGATGCTAGTGAACTTGGTGTAAAGAGTGTGTATCTGGGTTGATTCTCTTTAAAATTGCAGGTTCATTTGGTTTATGATATCCAAAATATATGACAAGAAAGTTAAATATAACTTAAATATAGGATTTTTTTAGATTTTCCAGTAAATATTGATCACTATGTAAAACATCCTTATTTTCATATACTAAATTTGTAAAATATAACTTTAGGGACTCCCACAAAAAAGAATGCAATTAGAAAAAAATATGTTCTAAATTAATTTTTCTGTTTTCAAAACTTACTTGTAAAGACGGCCATCTAGTCTGAGCTGGTCGTAGCAATTTGTGAGGTTTAAACTGCAAGAACTTTTGGTATTCCTCAAACTCATCTATTCTTCTGGAACTGTTGGAAAAATGATTATACAAATTTCTGACAAATTCTTCAACTGATTTAGGTAATTTAGTACATGCAGCAGAAGAACCCAAATGCAGAGTGGCATATACATCCCAATACAAAAATATCTTCATTTAATTCCCTAAATTTAGCCTGGACACCAGCTTTCTTCCCCATCATGACTGATGCATTATCTCCAGCAAAGCCAATCATATTTTGTAATGGTATTTTATTATAATTTAATAATTGTACTACTGCATTAAATAATGATTGAGCAGTAGCAGATGTCACTTCAATAAGTCCAAAAAACCTATCTATAGGTTTGTCATTTTTGCAGAAGCGAATAACCACAGCTAGAGATTTTTTTGTTGAGACATCTGTGGTCTCATCTATTATTAATGAATAGAGGCCACCACTATCATGAAGTTGTTTTTGAAGAACCTCAAGGCTCTCTTGTGCTAAACATGTTGTTGTCAATAAATTAGCTTTTGTTCGACTACATTTAACATCTTTTGCCACTGCGGAATCAGGACAAACTGATTGTACAAATTTAGGAAAATGTTCCATTAATAAAAATGGAAAATTATGCTCATGAAGAAACATTGTCACTTTCAATTCAGTGGCATGTACAATTTTTTTATGCAAAAGTGTTTTGTCATTATCAACCATTAAATTTATTTTGCGAGTGGATTTTGCAATTTCGATTTTTTTGTGGTTTGCTGATTTTTCGTGCCGTCTTAGGTGTGTAAAACTTCCCACAATTTTTTGGTTGCAGCATTTGCAAAATGCTATATCATCAATGTTTGAGACCCAAGTTTTATTAAAGTTTTATTAAATTTATGTTTATAATTTTTTGAAACTTTTTTTCGTACACCTACATTAGCAGCTATTTTATTAGTTTCAGTTTGGTCAGGTGATTTATCACTTAATATATTACGATTTAAATTTTCTGGCAAAATATTCTTTTTAGAAGTTGAGGGCAAGGCCGATGATGCCTGGGTCAAAAATCTAAAATAAAAGACCAATTTAATTGGAATATCTACTTTAGAATTATAAATAATTAAAATCTGGCATATTTTTGTCTTAAAATAAAACTAAACCCTGAAGTTTTTTTAACAGTTTTAAATGTCTGTTAGGTTAGGTTAAGTAGGTGATTGTAGTACTTTGAAAACTACTTACGGTTTCATATTTTAAATACTGCAACCTGATAACCTGAAACTGCAACACAATACGCGGTCAGAGCCTTATCTTATCACTGTGTCAAATTTAAATGATTTTTTGTTTTGTCTGTGTAAATCACAGGTATAAATGTTTAATGTTTAATTGATTATTCACAGATACATTTTCATAAAAAGACAAAAGAGTAAAACAAAAACTGCATCAAACACCATATCAAACTCCGAGCAATTACTAATAGAGGGAGCGTGAAAACGAGTTTGTAGGCGATTGTTGTGTTAGCAACATCTGTTGAGGAAGTGAGGAAGCGGGCACAAGGGGGAAGGTAAACATCCTTCTTGTTCAGTGGCGTATCATTTATCTATAAAAACACACATTGTCCAAACGTTTTAATTGTAAAAAAACTAAAAAATTTGCTAATTTTGCTATATTTAAAAAGAATACCGTCTTATATGTGTCTAATGCAGGAAATGAAACAAAATCACTGTAACGGTCTAATTTTTTCAATTGAAGAATAAAACCTTAAAATCAATTTTATTATAAATAAATACAGTAGCGACTAGTTTCGGCCTTACAGAAACATCTTCAGGCCTGTATACAATAATCTTTAATTATTATACTAGGTTGGTCACTTACGAATAACATTAAATAGTATAAACCACAAAAATGGATCCATATTGTAGCGTTACAGCATTATAGAATTAAAGCTGTGAAAATAAAAGAGCAGTGCAAACGTAACTAAAAATAAGAAAACTGAGTACGGAATCTACAAGAGATGAGAATGAGCAATTACGAATGCATTTAAATTGCTCGGGATAACAAATAAAGCTGATAATGTAGTGGTATAGTCCCGTCAAAGAAGGTCTAGATATGTTAAAGAGGACGGCGTTTTCTCTGTAAATCTGGAGAATGTAAGGATGCAGGGAAGACGAATCTTGCTGGCTCAGGTGTAGATGAAAGCTCCAGTAAATATCGTCACTTTCGTCTAATTTTTTATTCTCTCTCACCGGCACCGTTTCGGCTTTATCTTCGAAATTCATTTTTAAAAGGAAATAAAAGTAATCATTCATACAAGCATATAATAAAACAATATGAATTCATTATATTTAATAAGCTAATAAACGTTTGTTTCAATGAAAAAAAACATATATGGGAATATAAAAAATATATAAAAAGATAAGATTAATATCAAAATCAATTTGAAAATACAACAGATAATGAAATGAAATAAATTAATAAAAGTACAAATGGAAAGTTAATAACATACCTTCTAAAAGTAACACATTTTAAGTAGATATATGTTTAAAGAGTTTATTCCTGAACATAACTAATCTAACGTTTTTTCCTCTTTTTAATATTATGAGGGTTTTTGTAGTTGAAATGAAAATTATAATTTATTTTGGTCCTAATAAAAATTTAAACATATAGGTTATCAAAGAGTAAAATACATAATAAAACTTCATAATCTTAAATCGTTATCAAAAATTATTAATGGTAAAACTTCAAACAATAATTAGATTCTTAAACAAATTTCTAGTTTTTGTTTTGCAAAAGACTTTTTTGCCTTCATCGGTTGCCTCTGCCACTTTTCTTTTAGTAGTTTCGAGGAGAATTTTCCCATGGAAACTAGTAGAACCATCAATTGATTGGTAAAATTTTGATATTTTGAGTCTGGTAAGTCTTGTTAAATTTTCTTCTTAGGAAGCTGTAACCTAATGGAGAACAAAAATTTAATGTTAGATCAAAACCTCTTAATTGAGAATTATATTTGCAAAGGCCGTTTTAATAATATATTCAAAAGTTCTTGGAATCGTTGTTAACAGAAACCTGCAAAAAATATATCATTTTATTCCTAAAATATAAGATATCACACAATGCACATTCATATAATATCATTGTGCTAGAAAAATACTAGGTAGGTACTGAGACAATTTAAAAAAAGTGTTTCGAGAAACTCAACTTTTAATGTCATCATTGTACTTAACTTTTTTATTGCTAAATTATTAATAATGTCGTTTTGTGTAGTTCGCTGTGATTTCTATAATATATATTATAAAAACCTATCGTCAAAGTTAATGTGCCAAGTTTTTTTAATAATTATGTCCTTGTTATAGTAAAAACACATTTTTAAAGTTTTCTGAATTTATGCTTTAAATTATTGTACAATTCAACTGACTAATTTTGTGTTTAAGTAAAGGTATATCTCTTTTTTGTTATAACAGTCTTTGTATATTGTTCTAACTTTTAAGATAATCAGAGAAAACAGTAAGACATCTTAATATATCCTATTTCACCAACAAAAATGTAGAATAATTAATCTCATATCAAACGAAAAAAGTCATTTTAGGATGTCCTAATAGGTTTTAACTTAAAAACTAAATAAAATGTATATTGCAACTGTGTTTAAATAAATGAATGTTTTTATACCTGACTATAGTACCAGACAAACATTTTTTTAGATCATAATGATCTGCATAACTCAAAATAGTCAAAATCCACATTATTTAAGTTGTTCTAGTATTGTTTTAGCATAACGATGTAAACTCCAATAATAAATATTCACATTTTTTTGGGACATTTTTTAAGGAAATTAAAAAAAACATGAATAATGTGATATTCTTGTTTAGTATTGTACTATATAATATAGTTCATTAGGTAGTGATTTAGAAGCAAATTATGTTCTATTTATAGAATAAAAAATCACTCATAATATCTAAATATTTATACCTATTTATATTTTGGACAGGAAGACTATGTTATGTTTTTGGCTCTGAATAGTTTTCTTAAGAATTTTAAAACCTTCCTTAGCTCTTTTGGGATATTCCATGCATATCTTAGAAGTTCATTTTGTTTAAACCTAAAAAAAATTAAGTACAAAATATGAAAATTTAAACAATACACAAAATTAGTCTTTTAGATTATTTAAAAAAAAATGTCAACAAAAAAATGGCTATGCCTTCTTCCTTAAACATTCTTTTTGAAATAAACTTACTTGCTGTTTTAGTATTTTAGTAGCAGATGAATATAGTGTAGAAGTAGTGACAGGATTGATTATTATACTTCTTTCGTCGAAATTGCATTTTTGTTTAATATTTTCCTCACCTGAGGTCTATAATAAAAATGTTCATTAGCATAAAAAGTTATTCAGGTGGTCACTTGTTGAATTCCTATATTTTGGAACCATGTATTTCTTTCTCATATCAAGAAAAGGAAACCTAAAAAAATAACAATAAACTTTACAAAGATGTGATATTAAAATAATAAGTAATTAACCTTTACTATAATCATTATGAGACAGACGGATGAAGACGAACTTAGCTCTAGTTTACTTGCTCTTGATTTTAATTTTTCGATAAGCAAATAAGAAAGTTTAATTGCAAATTAAAGGTGATTGCCTAATGCACCGCCTCTGATAATTAGGTTGTCTGTACTTACTTATCATTTTCAACAGGCCTTTTATACATAACGCATGTTTTTACCATATTATTAGAGATAATAAATCTTAAATATACATTTACAACCCTTACAACGTTATAAATAATAATATTTTCCGTAAAATACAAATAAGAAATTGACATGTGTCAGAACTGGCGCTCACAGAACACTTCTGGCGCTGTTAAACTTGGCAACGCTGATTAAATAAGCCAATTACAGAAGAGGTATTTTCCCCCTCGGGGGGAGTAGATGTTGCTAACAAAATTTAGCGCGGGGAAGGGGGGAAGACTCCCTCTAGTAGTAATTGCTCGGAGATATCAAACACCAACGCAACGTCGACCGGCAATCGTCAACGTCAACAAAATCACGGAACGGTCAATCAAGAACCACAATACCACAAATCACAAAACAAGATGACATTGACAAGACAAAATTAACAAAGTATTAAGCTTAATTTATAATCGCCGTAACGTAACTTAAGAACTTAACGTAAGAAGTTGAAATATTGAATTTACGTATACTTATTTATAATGTTCGTAACGTAACTTAAGAACTTAACGTACCGTAGAAAGTTCGCCAACTTTTAACTTAACAACTTAACTTAAGACCTTACGGTTAGCCAATGAGATAATTCTGAGTTCAGCATGTGATAACTGTCAATTATTCTATTTTTATTTTTTTTATAAATGAATAG